TCAGCCTGAGGGCTAAACACATGATATCAAAAAGGTCTAGGGAGACCTCCCTTTGCACCAGTCACACAATGCAAAAGAAGCAGAAAGAAACTTGTAAGTCCCTTCTGGGGATTTGTAGACCTGGAGCTGCAGCAGAAAACCAGGGACCATAGCTAGCGATAGTTCCTGCCATCTCTTCTTTTTCCCAGCCTGGATGGGTGTGGTCAGGCCCCTAAATTCAGGTAGCCAGATGACCTTCTCTCCTCTGCCAGGGCAGTGAAAAAGACAATGGAGCAGCCTTCTTTCTGCCCTCTTCTGCAATGCAGCAGGTGGCTTGCAGGGGATGTACTGAGCAACCTCAGCAAGGAAGGGACAGCAGCTACTCAGAAGGCTTCTGGCATTTTGGCTCACGCCGGAGCTGCTCCCGGGGCTATAAAGGAGGTGGTGTCCTCTAGTAACAGCACTAATTCAGCTTTTACATAGCAGAGTGTGGCTCAGAGAACATATTTTCAATTCATAATCAAATACAAATTATCTTAGCAGTCACACAATTTAGAGCCTTGGGGAACACCAGCTGGACACCACTTCTGTTGCAGGTCTGATGAAACATTGCATTACCTGTTTTCATCCCTCACCAATAGGGCTAACCTCAGATCTTGTCCTAGTACTTAAACAGTTATTTTTCCCTCAGACGTCTGAACAATACAGGAGCTGTGTTGCCAGCACTCATAATTTTATCGTGAGTCTTGCAACATTTTTTTTAAAGCCCCAGTTCTCAGAGTTGTTTGATTACATGTGAATCACAGCTTTCATCTAACAATATGTTTATAGCCCTCACAGTTTTGGGGAAGAGCTTGAAAACATAAAATCTAATGACTCAAAAACTCAGGCAAATAAGATGATTTTTGTAGCTTGACCCAGGCTTGGTGTTGGCAATACTGTCAGCTTCAAAATCTAGCTCTTATTCAATGTTTATATTTGTATTATTCTTGAAAAGCCTCCTGCTATAATCACATTGAAGGAAGAACAATGCAGGCTCCCTCAGTTTGGGATTTTTTTGCCAGAAGAGCCAAATGACTTTGTTTACTTGTGTAGGATGTCACTGACTACAGAGCTGCCCTTTCAGGGTACTCATCCAGATTCTCCACTTCTCGCTACAATTTGTCTCCCCCCTATTTTTCTTTAGTTCTAGTGAGACTGGATCCACTCTCCCCCACTTCCAAGTTTCCTTCATCATGAAATGAAACATTATTTGGGCTTTGACATACTGTTTTTACTAGTCACTGCACTGAGATAAACAAAAACAAAACAACTTCACCCTCACATAATCCTCATGGCACCCCCCCCCCCCCATTCTTCCCAAATCATAGATGGCCAGGCTGAGAAATACAAATCAGCAAACTGCAAAGAATGACAAGTCCCTGTGTTTACTGAGGAGATATATGTCCAGGTCAAGAGGTGAAGGCATCTCCTCTCTTTTAGGCCAACACAGTTTACATTAAAATTGGCATTTCAGACACATTGTTACTGAAACTCTACTTCTTGAGAAACATGATAAATGTTTCTAGGTCTATGCTGACACATGCATTCCTTTATTATAGCCAGCTTCAAGAATGCTTCCCTCCTCCCTGACCCCCATGCCCCAGGGGCTAAAACATGTTTCTTTCTTCCAGGAGTGATATTTGACATCACAACAATCAGTGTGGTAGGAGATAACAGATTGTGAAATAGAACTGTGGAGATAACCACTCAGTGGAGGGAAGGCCCAGGGGTTGTTAATGGAGCTAGCCTTTGGTAACTGTAAAGGAGGATATCCACTTTCATTTATCAGAAAGAATACAAACACAAGTCTCTAGCTCTTTTCCTAGTGAAGATCCTTGATAGCGCAAACCAATGTGAAGAGATGCAAAGCAACTGTTAACACAGGAAAGAACATACAGCTGGACTCCATTTCTTCAGCAGGTGTCCCATGTATTACCCCAACAATACATGTATCTTTTTATGCAAAAAAAGCCAGTTGATTATGGTGTATCATCGCACTAACTCTCCCCAGAATCCTTTTGCCAGCTCTGCACATAGACATGTAAGCATGATCAGAAACCAGTCTAAATCCTCTAATGTATTCCCCATCCCTGATGTGAGGGGATGGTATCAGTTACTATTTGTTTGGTTTTAAGGAAAGGGACTTTGGGGTTTTTAGTGTCACATAGTTTCCTAGTCTGCTGCTGTGAAATGATTATTTCAGAACATTAAATATGTGGTTTAAAATAGACACCAGTAGTTAATGTTTCTGAACCAGTTCTTCTGGCCCTGGAAGACTTTGATTTCCAGAGGTATTACACTGCAAATTAAATTACAGCTGAATGAAAGGGCTGTGTATGGTAGGTGTTCCCATAGTTATTGTTTAATATTTGTACAAAATACCCAATAGGAAAAATAAAGACATGGGCAAACATTGTCAAAGTTGGGTGCTTAAAGTCAAGCACTTAAAACCATATGTAGGCACCTAAATGTGTGACCTAATTTTCAGAGGTGCTGAGGACCTGTAGTTCTCATTGATATCAGCACTTTGTTTAGGTCACTTATTTAGGTGTCTACACATGGATTTAGGGGCCTGAGTTTAGTCACCCATCCCTTTTTTGGCCACAGTACCAATCCCATGAAACTTACTACTCCAGTAGGAAGATTTACTAGGTTATCTAACTAAGATGGCTGTTTAACACCATTTTGTTTGCCTAGTCTTGGAGCATTGCACTGTCATGTAAAGGTACTGGTGTCTTGCTCCCTGTTCAGAACTAAGAGTGCAACAGATTTAGTTCTACACTACGGAATAAGGTCGAATTTATAGAAGTCGGTTTTTTAGAAATCAGTTTTATATATTCAAGTGTGTGTGTCGGCTGGGAGCGCCTGGGCAGACATAGGCACAGGGACTAAATTTGGAGTGACTTGACCAGGTCATTCTCTTTAGTCCTGCAGTCAGTCCTATTGAACCGTCTTATGGTGAGCAGGCAGGCGATATGGATTGCTAGCAGTCGTACTGTACCATCTTCTGCCGGGCAGGCAAGAGATGAGGATGGCTAGCAGTCCTACTGCACCATCTTCTGCTGAGCATCCATGAGATGTGGATGGCATGCAGTCCTTCTGCACCGTCTGCTGCCAGCCAAAGATGTAAAAGATAGATGGAGTGGATCAAAACAAGAAATAGACCAGATTTGTTTTGTACTCATTTGCCTCCTCCCCCATCTAGGGGACTCATTCCTCTAGGTCACACTGCAGTCACTCACAGAGAAGGTGCAGTGAGGTAAATCTAGCCATGTATCAATCAGAGGCCAGGCTAACCTCCTTGTTCCAATAAGAACAATAACTTAGGTGCACCATTTCTTATTGGAACCTTCCGTGAAGTCCTGCCTGAAATACTCCTTGATGTAAAGCCACCCCCTTTGTTGATTTTAGCTCCCTGAAGCCAACCCTGTAAGCCATGTCGTCAGTCGCCCCTCCCTCCATCAGAGCAATGGCAGACAATCGTTCCGCGCCTTTTTTCTGTGCGGACGCCTTACCAAGGCAAGCATGAGGCCGCTCAGCTCACTTTGGCAATTAGGAGCACATTAAACACCACACGCATTATCCAACAGTATATGCAGCACCAGAACCTGGCAAAGCGATACCGGGCGAGGAGGCAACGTCAGCGCGGTCACGTGAGTGATCAGGACATGGACACAGATTTCTCTGAAAGCATGGGCCCTGCCAATGCATGCAGCATGGTGCTAATGGGGCAGGTTCATGCGGTGGAATGCCGATTCTGGGCTCGGGAAACAAGCACAGACTGGGCATAGTGTTGCAGGTCTGGGACGATTCCCAGTGGTTGCGAAACTTTTGCATGCATAAGGGCTCTTTCATGGAACTTTGTGACTTGCTTTCCCCTGCCCTGAGGCGCATGAATACCAAGATGAGAGCAGCCCTCACTGTTGAGAAGCGAGTGGCAATAGCCCTGTGGAAGCTTGCAACGCCAGACAGCTACCGGTCAGTTGGGAATCAATTTGGAGTGGGCAAATCTACTGTTGGGGCTGCTGTGATGCAAGTAGCCCACGCAATCAAAGATCTGCTGATATCAAGGGTAGTGACCCTGGGAAATGTGCAGGTCATAGTGGATGGCTTTGCTGCAATGAGATTCTCTAACTGTGGTGGGGCCATAGACGGAACCCATATCCCTATATTGGCACCGGAGCACCAAGCCGCCGAGTACATAAACCGCAAGGGGTACTTTTCAATAGTGCTGCAAGCTCTGGTGGATCACAAGGGACGTTTCACCAACATCAACGTGGGATGGCTGGGAAAGGTACATGACGCTCGCATCTTCAGGAACTCTGGTCTGTTTCAAAAGCTGCAGGAAGGGACTTTATTTCCAGACCAGAAGATAACTGTTGGGGATGTTGAAATGCCGATATGTATCCTTGGGGACCCAACCTACCCCTTAATGCCATGGCTCATGAAGCCGTACACAGGCAGCCTGGACAGTAGTCAGGAGCTGTTCAACTACAGGCTGAGCAAGTGCAGAATGGTGGTAGAATGTGCATTTGGACGTTTAAAGGCACGCTGGCGCAGTTTACTGACTCGCTTAGACCTCAGCGAAACCAATATTCCCACTGTTATTACTGCTTGCTGTGTGCTCCACAATATCTGTGAGAGTAAGGGGGAGACTTTATGGCGAGGTGGGAGGTTGAGGCAAATTGCCTGGCTGCTGGTTACGCGCAGCCAGACACCAGGGCGGTTAGAAGAGCACAGGAGGGCACGGTACGCATCAGAGAAGCTTTGAAAACCAGTTTAATGACTGGCCAGGCTACGGTGTGAAAGTTCTGTTTGTTTCTCCTTGATGAAAGCCCCCGCCCCTTGGTTCACTTTACTTCCCTGTAAGCTAACCACCCTCCCCTCCACCCTTCGATCACCGCTTGCAGAGGCAATAAAGTCATTGTTGCTTCACATTCATGCATTCTTTATTCATTCATTACACAAATAAGGGGATGACTACCAAGGTAGCCCAGGAGGGGTGGTGGAGGAGGGAAGAAAAATGCCACACAGCACTTTAAAAGTTTACAACTTTAAAATTTATTGAATGCCAGCCTTCTTTTTTTTGGGCAATCCTCTGTGGCGGAGTGGATGGTTGGCCGGTGGCCCCCCCACCGCATTCTTGGGCGTCTGGGTGTGGAGGCTATGCAACTTGGGGAGGAGGGCGGTTGGTTACACAGGGGCTGTAGTGGCAGTCTGTGCTCCAGCTGCCTTTGCTGCAGCTCAACCATACACTGGAGCATACTGGTTTGGTCCTCCAGCAGCCTCAGCATTGAATCCTGCCTCCTCTCATCACGCTGCCGCCACATTTGAGCTTCAGCCCTGTCTTCAGCCCACCACTTACTCTCTTCAGCCCGCCACCTCTCCTCCCAGTCATTTTGTGCTTTCCTGCACTCTGACATTATTTGCCTCCACGCATTCGTCTGTGCTCTGTCAGTGTGGGAGGACAGCATGAGCTCGGAGAACATTTAATCTTGAGTGCGTTTTTTTTTCTTTCTAAGCTTCACTAGCCTCTGGGAAGGAGAAGATCCTGTGATCATTGAAACACATGCAGCTGGTGGAGGAAAAAAAAAGGGACAGCGGTATTTAAAAAGACACATTTTATAAAACAGTGGCTACACTCTTTCAGGGTAAACCTTGCTGTTAACATTACATACATAGCACATGTGCTTTCATTACAAGGTCGCATTTTGCCTCCCCCCACCGCGTGGCTACCCCCTCAACCCTCTCCCATCCTTGTGGCTAACAGCGGGGAACATTTCTGTTTAGCCACAGGCAAACAGCCCAGCAGGAATGGGCTCCTCTGAGTGTCCCCTGAAGAAAAGCACTCTATTTCAACCAGGTGACCATGAATTATATCTCACTCTCCTGAGGATAACACAGAGAGATAAAGAACGGATGTTGTTTGAACGCCAGCAAACATACACTGCAATGCTTTGTTGTATAATGATTCCCGAGTACGTGTTACTGGCCTGGAGTGGTAAAGTGTCCTACCATGAAGGACGAAATAAGGCTGCCCTCCCCAGAAACCTTTTGCAAAGGCTTTGGGAGTACATCCAGGAGAGCCACGAATGCCAGGGCAAAGTAATCCTTTCACATGCTTGCTTTTAAACCACGTATAGTATTTTAAAAGGTACACTCACTGGAGGTCCCTTCTCCGCCTGCTGGGTCCAGGAGGCAGCCTTGGGTGGGTTCGGGGGGTACTGGCTCCAGGTTCAGGGTGAGAAACAGTTCCTGGCTGTCGGGAAAACCAGTTTCTCCGCTTGCTTGCTGTGAGCTATCTACAACCTCATCATCATCATCTTCTTCGTCCCCAAAACCTGCTTCCGTATTGCCTCCATATCCATTGAAGGAGTCAAACAACACGGCTGGGGTAGTGGTGGCTGAACCCCCTATAATGGCATGCAGCTCATCATAGAAGCGACATGTTTGGGGCTCTGACCCGGAGCGGCCATTAGCCTCTCTGGTTTTCTGGTAGGCTTGCCTCAGCTCCTTCAGTTTCACGCGGCACTGCTTCGGGTCCCTGTTATGGCCTCTGTCCGTCATGCCCTGGGAGATTTTGACAAAGGTTTTGGCATTTCGAAAACTGGAATGGAGTTCTGATTGCACGGATTCCTCTCCCCATACAGCGATCAGATCCCGTACCTCCCGTTCGGTCCATGCTGGAGCTCTTTTGCGATTCTGGGACTCCATCATGGTCACCTCTGCTGATGAGCTCTGCATGGTCACCTGCAGCTTGCCACGCTGGCCAAACAGGAAATGAGATTCAAAAGCTCGCAGTTCTTTTCCTGTCTACCTGGCCAGTGCATCTGAGTTGAGAGTGCTGTCCAGAGCGGTCACAATGGAGCACTCTGGGATAGCTCCCGGAGGCCAATACTGTCGAATTGTGTCCACAGTACCCCAAATTCAAGCCGGCAAGGCCAATTTAAGCGCTAATCCACTTGTCAGGGGTGGAGTAAGGAAATCGATTTTAAGAGCCCTTTAAGTCGAAATAAAGGGCTTCATCGTGTGGACGGGTGCAGGTTTACATCGATTTAATGCTGCTAAATTCAACCTAAAGTCCTAGTGTAGACCAGGGCTTAGAGTACTCAGCTCATTGGTGGGGCGTGAACACCTTGCGTTGTTGAAGATGTTGACTGCAGTGGTGGAGGTCCTTGACTTCAGACCATAAAACATAGACAAACAGAGATGATCCACAGGCTCTGATAAAATTACAGGAAACTCCTTCGAAGGATAAATCTGTTGTGGTACAGCAGAGCTTGAACAGAATGAAGGGTGCATGGTACATTCAACTGCAAACTAGTCTAAAGTTCGTATTCATTTCATTGTCTTTTTTTTTTTTTGACATGCATAACATAATCAATGCAGTAAAAACATTTTTACCGGTGGTGGTATTATTATTAATTATTATTAGTATTGGTATGTGCAAGATATACAGAAATACAGCCCTACCTGTATTTCCTACCATGGGTATAGGGGAAACTGCTAAAATCTTGTTTATTTGTAAAACAATAAAAAACAACATTTAACTGCACCCTCTGTAAGAAGTACAATTATGTTATAGCAAAAGAATTTCCTATTTGCCTTAAAAGAAAAGATAGAAGCAATTGTCAGAAGAGTAATGTTACATCAGAAATCTAAGGTGCTGAAGTGGCTCTGAGTGACTCCATACATATTTCTTAAAAATGGCTTGGCATTTAGGCATTTCCCTGCAGAATTATACAAGTCAAAGGTGAAAACTGAGATGATTTATTTCTAGTCATCAAACATGCTGAATCGTTGCTACTACAGCTTACCTAAGGAGGGAAAAAATCTGTTTCTCAATCATTTAACACTTAGGAAAAAAGTGCTTGTTTTAGCACAGTAGGAAGTATTTCACACTAAAGGCAAATGGGAATGCTGGTCTAAATAGCAGGTCGGTACATTATAGAGAAAAGTGAATTACAGAAAAAAATTTCAAGTGAGTGAAACAGATTGGCAACAACTTCTCCTGCCAATAACAATGGAATTATGATTATTTGTTCTTTACCCAATGCCCAAAATTGTGCTAGAAGTATTACAGACAAATAGAAATACATGGTCCCTGGACTGGAAAATGTACAATCTAAAAAAGGGGAAGACAAATCAGAAGGCAGGAATAAGGAAATGGGGGGGTTCTAAGTTTGGGGGAGAAGGCACAGGCCCCTGCACTCACTCCGGTGCCATATTCCTGTGGGGTCTGGCATCTGTGGCTGGAGTGGCTGTGCCGGGCAGACACGCCAAACCCTCAAAAAAAAAAAAAAAAAACCTGCAGAAATTTGTCTTGTTTTTGGCTTAATTGGCTTGTGAGTTGCTTGTTGGCTAGTTTTTGGCTTGTAGCTTGTTTCTTGTTGTAGGTTGTTGCTTTTTTTTTTTTTTAAATCAGCTCCCGGCAAGCAGGGGCAAGGGGGGGCACAGGGTGGAGAGAATCAGGGGTGCACCACGGGCCCACCACAGTCCCAGACTGCATGCCAGGGGCATCTAGTCACATAGAGTGTTGGGGTTCTTAGGGATTGGCTTGTTTTGGCCTTGTTTTGAAATGGGATTAGCTTGATTTTAGCTTATTGTGAAAGTTGGGGTGCTTATTTACCATATGAAAGTTGGCAACTGTGGTGCCGGGATCTGGAGGCTTATGAGCTCTCCCAGGAACCTTCTGGTCAAGCAGAGGTGGGGCCTGGCTTGGACCAAAGGAGGAAAAGCAGCCCCTCAATTCAGTCCTGGTGCTGCTGGAAATGTCAGCTGGATATAGAAAATAGCCTTGCTCCCTGTAGTGGGGTTATATTGGAAAACCTGGGAGGTGGGCGGGCGCAAGCCTGCCCACTGCTAAAGGCCCCTCCCCCAGCCTAGCAGGAGGGACCACTGGACCCAGAGACCAACTGATTGCGGGGAACAACTAATGAAAAACAGGGGTCAGAGTGAAGGTCATAGGTTCAAAACGAGGATACCGGATGGGGACACCGAGCAGAGAACCCCGGACAGCGCCCACTGCTCCTCAAAGCTGTCAAGGGAGCCAGCGGACGCTGCCCAGTGGAACTCTGCCTGGATGCGTGACACTAGAGAGGAACAGAAATAGGCCCCACAGTTGCAGAGCACCCCTTTGTCCAACATCCTCCTCCTGGTGTTATAGATGGAGACTTTGGCCAGGGCCAGGAGGAGGTTGACGAGGAGGTCTTGCGACTTCGTGGGGCCACAAATGGGGTGTGCAAAAAGGAACAAGTGCGGGGAAAAGTGCAGCCTCAACAAGAGGTTCTGGAGGAGCCGGAATAGAGGCTGCATGCGCCAGGTTCTCCCTCACGCTGCAAAAGGGGCAGGCCTCAGGTATAGGGGTGAATTGTGCCAGGTACATACCAGTGCTCACGGCTCCATGAAGGAGCCGCCAACCGATGTCCCTGGCAGGCTGTGGGACCAAGGTGGAATAAAGGCTGGCCCACCGGGGCTCCTCACCGTCTTCAGGTGGAAAATAGTCCTGCCATTTGGTGTCGGGGCGGGACGTGAGGGTGAGGAAGTGCAGTGTGTGGAGCACGAGCATGTACGGATGGTTTCTGGGCGCGGTTCGAAAGTGGACTGGCTGCAGAGTTTGGGGCCGGATCAGAGTGTGGGACTAGAAAGGCCGGGAGGCTCGCGGAACAGGGGCCGAAAAAAAATGTCCGGAGGGCCAGGGGTGACAGGTGGGTGGGGAGCGCCCCCTTTCAGGGCTCGCCACAGGAAAACTACAGAATCAGGTGGCAAGACGGCCTCCACCTCCTGGAGTACACGCCTAGGGGTCAGAAGGGTGGAAAGCCCCATGCGTCAACCGAGCACGCGGAGCGCCACCCAGTCCCCTGTGTCATAGTCCAAGAGGTCTCCAACTCTGGTGGTTTCTGCCAGGACCAAACTCCGACGCACCGAGGGAGACTCCGCCACCTACACACGTAGATCAAGGTTGTGTAGCAGAGGCTCCGCGAGGAGGTCTGCCCCCTCGGTGGCCACAAAGGACCTGGTCGCCGAAAAAAGCTTCCAGGTCTGGAGGAGGTCCTGGTAGAAGACTGGCAGCTCAGAGAGGTCTCGCGGAAGACCTCTCGGATGGAGTAAAAAAGAGCTGCCAGTCATATCGGAGCCCTCGGAGGCGGCAGAGGAAGGTGTGCACCAATGTGCTCCAATCCAGACTACCTGCACCATAAAGGAGCCTCTGCAGGACCTGGAGGTGGAAGACATTGACCTGGCTGCACAGGCAAACCAGGCCCTGTCCTCCCTCCACCAGGGGAAGACTCAGGACCCCTGCAGAGACCCAGTGCAGCCCCGGCTAGAAGAACTACAGAGCCATCCTCTGGAGCCTGGACAGGATCCTCAGGGCTGGGCTCAGGGTGTTGAGCTGGTGCCAGAGCATGGACAGGACTAACTAGTTCAGCACCAGTGCCATCCCTTGCAGGGAGAGACACCAGAACAGTTCTGCCCATCTTCGCAGCTGCTCACCCACCCTGGCCTCCAAATCCTGCCAGTTCTCCGGTGGAGAAGGATGTGTGGTGGATAGATAAATGCCAAGATAGAGCAGGGGACCAGCTTTCTACCGGATGGCTTGAAGCACGGGCGGGAGGGAGCTCGCCTGCCACCCATCCCCGATCACCAGGCCAGAGCTCCTGACCCAGTTGACCCGGGGGGAGGAGGCCACCAAGTAAACGGCCTGGCAGGCCTCCACCTGCACCAGGTCATCCGGGTCCTGGACCACGAGGAGCACATCATCGGCGTATGCTGACAGGACCAGCCGCAGCTCCGGCTCCCAAAGCACCAACCCCGTCAACCTCTGGCAGAGGAGACAGAGGAAAGGCTCGATCGCCAGAGCATACAGCTGGCCCGAGAGTGGGCTCCCCTTCCGTATTCCCCGCCCGAAGCTGACCGGCTCGGTGAGGGTCCAGCCTCGTTGAGCCTGACCAGACACTCCGCATCGGCGTACAGCACTTAGAGAAAGCCCATGAACTGGGACCCGAAGCTGAACGCCCACAGGGTGCCCAGGAGATACCCATGGTCCACCCTGTCAAACGCCTTCTCCTGGTCCAGGAACAGGAGGGCGAATGACAGACCATCCCTACGCCCCAGCTCCAAGAGGTCCCGGACCAAATACAAGTTATCAAATATGGTCTGGCCTGGGATGGTGTAGATCTGGTCAGAATGGACCACATCCACCAGCAAGGACCCCAGCTGCAGCGAGATGGCCTTCGCTATGACCTTGTAGTCTGTGCTGAGGAGCAAGACGGGACACCAAATCTGTAGGTCGTGGCGGTCCCCCTTCTTCGGCAATAAGGTGAGCACAACTCATCTGCACGAGAGAGGGAGGACCCCGCTTTGCAAGGACTCGGCCCAGACGATGACAAGGTCCAGGCCAAGGATGTCCCAAAACACGCGGTAGAACTCCATGGTCAGCACATCAATGCCCGGAGATTTATTGGTGTGCATGTGGCAGAGGGCTTCCGAGAGCTCGGCCAGAGAGAGAGAAGCAGCTCCAGCTGGTCTCGGTCACCCGCGCTGACCGTCAGGAGTTCGGTCCAGAGCACGCTGCTGGCTTCGGCGTTGGTCAGATCTGGGGAAAAAAAGGCTAGCGTAGAAGGACCTGGCCCTTCCACACATCTCCTCCAGATCCGTGAGGGGGGGTACCGTCCTCCACCAGGTGGCAGGTGACATGCTTTTTGGCCCCCCTCCTTTTCTCCAGGGCATAGAAGAAATGGGAGCCATGATCCATCTCCTGAAGGAGACGGATGCAGAATTGAACAAAAGCGCCCCAGGCTTGATGTTCCTCCAGGGCCCGGAGCTCCTCCCACTTCTCCCGGTACGCTGCGCAGAGGGGTGGATCCTCGGGGCCAGAGGCCAGACGCCTCTCTAGCTCTAAGACCTCCTGCTCCAACTGCCCTATTACCGCATCCCTCCGCTGGGTGGCGCCCTGGATGTAGTCGCGGCAGAGGAGCCATGCGCGCACCTTTCCCACATCCCACCACCGCCTCGCCGAGGGAAAGACATGCTACTGCCCCCGCCAGGCCAGCCAGAACTCCCAGAAGGACCTCATGAAGCCCACGTCCTCCAGCAAGCTGTTGTTAAAATGCCAATAGGCCAGCCTCAGCCTCTTCGAACTGAGAGAGGCCATCACGGTCACCAAGTGGCGAT